GTGTATATGTGTTTACACACACCCACACACACACTCCACACACATGCACACACCATAGTTAATTCAATCAGAAGTGTATTGATGGACATTTGGGTTTCTTTTTCTTTTTCTTCCCCTTTCCCTTCTCCTTCCTTCCCTTTTCCTTTCTCCTTTCCTTTTTCTTCTCCTCTTTCCTTTCCTTTCCTGTCTTTTCCTCTTTCCTTTCCTCTTTCCTTTCCCCTTTCCTTTCTTCTTTCCTTTTTCCTTTCCTTTCTGAGACAGAGTCTCACTCTGTTGCCAGGGCTGGAGTGCAGTGGCATCATCATAGCTCACTACAGCCTCAAACTCCTGGACTCAAACAGTCCTCCTGCCTCAGCCTCCCAAAGTGCCAGGATTATAGGTGTGAACCACCACACCTGGCTTTGGGTTACTTTTTTGGAATAACTTTTTCTGGAGTGAGGTGATCATTTATACTTAGCAAGTGGGAGTATTGACAGGAATGTGGGATTTGGTGCCTTGAGGTTTGCCTGGTTGTATATGACCTTAGTTCTTCATGTTCTCGTTTTGCAGAGTACTGCGTTTTCTGGAAAGGGAAGGGGCATCACCTATCCATTTTGTGTATTCTAGCACAGGGTGAGGCAGCAGGGACTGCTGGAGGCCTTCCAGGCAGGTTGTTAAAGGAGTCCTCTTAGAATCTCATCAGAAATCTCCCGTGAGCCAATTTCTGGTTCTCAGGACTAGGCAGCAAGAAGTGAGCAGAGCAAGTGAGGGACTGGCGAGGTTTTTGCCTTGGTTGCTCTTAGAGAGGGGGCCCAGTGGGCATCCTTTCAACAGTTTTATTATTTAATAGCACACTTAATAAACATTAGCCATAACTTCTCTCTTACAAACTATGGTTTTCAGAGCTTTTCTTTGTAAAAGGCTGCTTTTCATGGTCGGTGTGAGTTAGACTGTTCTGCAGGGGGCATAAAAGAATAGTTTTCAATAATGTTCTAATCCAGAAATTGAAACAAGGGCTATATAGAAAAAAATACAGTTGGTTCATTGACATTTTACTCCTCAAATCCAGTATGCCTTCCTTGCAAATTCATTCTAAATGAACAAAAGGTGACTTCCTAAGTCATTTAAAGGGCAAGAGGGGACTCTGAATCTGGCTGCTTCTGTGGCCATCCTGGGCCACATTGCTCAAGAGACCAAGTCCCCTGGAGGCTTACCTTTGAGACGAGGGAAATGAGGTTGCTGGGTTTGAGGAAATTAGTGTCACACAGACATTTATAGCTCTGATGTAGGACTCTTCTAACCTCTTTCTATTACTAAAATAAACCTCAGTTCATTTAGCATCTATGTTTCTATAGGAATATTCATCAGACATTTCCATTTCTAACAACTAATACCTGTTAGTAGCTATTTTTAGTTAATGTGTGAAATACGAAAGAAGAATCCATTCAGCATATATGCACTGAGTACTGCTTATGTGCTAGTCTCATACTGGGCACCAAGAGCACTGTATAGTCTGGCTGGAAATAAGATAGAGTATGGGAGAGGAAAGAAGAGAGGATGCATAGTTTATAAGAATAGAAAATAAAACACTCTCACCATTTTTTTTCTTTCTTTTTCTTTTTTTTTTAACTAAGCATTTGGATAGGCAGATAATCCTTAATGAGCTGGTAGGTCTTTGGTTGCAGACATAAAGAGGTCCCATGCATAGACATCCTGTGATGTTGGCAGGTGCAGGAAATGTATTTCCTGGTTTCTTCCATTCCTTGTAGCAGCTAAGGCACTGAGTTTCCCGTCTATAAATCAGGGCTGACGTTCATCCTGCCTGCCTCACTGTGAGGCTGAGGTTTGACATTGGACAAATACAAGTGTACCTAGTAGATGAAGTTTTTATGAGCTGTAGTGTTATTATTTTTTATTAGTTCATGAACAGGAATAAGAACTTTGAGCTTGTAACTTTTCTGCTGCATACCCAGACGCTGTTTTCATTTGGGTCCCTCTTGTGACATTGGCAACCACCCTAAATCTTGGGGAATGTAATTTAAACAGACACCTGTGGAGTTAATTTTAAGCCCCTCGAAGGTTC